TTGTACCCTATCTTGTAATTTCTGTCCCTTCAAATTATGTCTTCTTTTATTCTGTCTTTATTATGAGGCCGCATAGTCGCAGAATTTAACATCTATCCTGGCTCCCGTGCAGAAATTTTTTGCTTTTCTCTTTGCTGATTTTTATTAGTTGTCTTTGGCTCCATTTCTCTCCTAGAAAAGGGAGTAGAGCATATTACAAGCAAAACTCAATCTCCTTTCTCTGGTTCATGGTGCAGTACATCATCCTTCTGAATAGCCATAATCTTATTCTTGCTGTTTTCTTCTACCACTTCCTTTCATTTTTCCTCTTACTCTGATGTTAAAACTATTCCAAGAAATCCATAAATCTCTTACAGATTTTTTTCAAACATTATATTTAACAAGCTTGATTTAAGTTGCAGCTGCCATGATTCTCCTTAGTAGATCAGCCTTGATGCTTCTCCTGATAATCTTGTTTTCTTGGCCTTTGAGAACGTTCACTTATTTTCACGCTGGTGTCCAATGCAGTTAGTTCTATACCACTTCTTCTATCTGCCATTGCGTATTTTCCCCGTGGGGAAGACAATTCCCACAGTCACTGTATGAAATGAGAAGCCTGGAAGCATTTTGTGCCAAATGTTTGTTACGAAGACAGTTACAGAGCAAATCCTTGAAAGTGTGTCCATTGTTATCTGTGGGTTACCTGCTGCAATTTTACCTCTTTTCAGTTAAAAGCACATTCTTCTAGAATAGCTTTTCTGTCCAATAGCAGTGCTTTAAGAACTAAATACTGGCACATTGGTAGGTTTGATAGAAAACGCTGTTGCAAAATTCAATCAGTTACGCTGTACAAAATGTAGTAGCCCTCTGTAGCATAAACTTTTAAAATAAATAGTTTGGTTTTCTCGGTAATAGAATAAGGCAGCACTGCAGTGAAGACGATATACAGAAAAGTAATTGCAAGGCAGTGTGTCTCTTATGGACCCACCTATTTGCTCTAAAAAGAAATTGCAACTGAAGAAAAAGCAAGCTGGGCTGCTTCTGGTATGTGTGCAATCCACAAGAGCTGCTGACCCTCTCCTTTTTCTCATTTGTCCTTCAGTTCCCCTGTATACCTTTACCGTCTGATGGCAGTTGTAGTTCATCATGGAGACATGCATTCTGGACACTTTGTGACTTACCGCCGCTCTCCACCTTCTCCTAAGAACCCAGTCTCTGTCAGCAGTCAGTGGCTATGGATCTCAGATGACACTGTTCGCAAAGCTAGTTTGCAGGAAGTCCTTTCTTCTAGTGCTTACTTGCTTTTTTATGAGCGTGTTCACTCGAGGGTACAGCACCAAAGCTCGGAGTTGAGGGCTGAAGAGTGATTAAGAGAGCAGAAGACGGACAAAAACTGACAAAATTCCTCTAATGAGATCTACGTTGCACCTCCTCTCTGTTATGCAAATAACCCACCACAGGCCCTTTAACTTCTCCCCTCCCTCTGTGGCGATGGCTGGCTCCTGCTGGGAGTTGTGTTTTGTACCAAGATTACGCTGCCCAAAGTTGGCCTGCTAACGTTGTGCAGTCCAAAGTGTATCTGTATTAGAGAAGCATTTTCTGTTAGGTAGTAATTTTGTCAACATCACAGCTCTGAAACAGACATTACAAACAGACTTCCCGAGGCTGTATTCCATATTCTGACACGTATGTAAATTTTCAAAGGGAGATGCTTAATCCTATACATTTCACTGCAGAGGTTTCTGAACAGGGGAGCCCCAGAAGCAGTTGATGGGAAGCTACTGTTATCGAAGGCAATGATTTAAGAAACAAAGTGCCTTGAGCTTATTTGAATGGTAACATTACCATTGTCTGAGTCCACTGCATGTCAGTTGCGTTGTGATAAATGTCTCAAGATGATGGGATGAACTACTAACAGAATCAGATTTCTCTTGGTATCCCAGCTAATCAATAAAACAAGGCATCTCTACATAACATGCACGATCCAAAAAAAGACTTCCCTGTTCACGTCATTTTCCTAATATTTTAGTTCTTTACACATCATAGAAGTACTTCTGCTGATTCAAACTGCAGTTTCCTTTTTCCAGGAGAAAAGATAATTTTTGTATCTATTAAGAGCCGAGACCCTGATTTATTGCTCTGTATCTTTGGAATATAGCTGAAATCAAGAGACAGAAGCATTTGCTAGCAATCAGTATTGTAATTTCCTTCGTCGCTATGAAACTGTTGAATACAGTTGCTTGTCATATCGACTACAACTTTTAATGCTGTGATTTCAAGGCTACTGTAATTGGTGTTCTACACTTGCTCTTCCTATTTTAATGCTGAAAACTGCCATTTCTCATCAACCATTCAGATACATGCTGTCTGGCTTGCCACTGAGCTTTAGAGCTTGCTTGTACCGGTTGTGATTGTGAGCTGAGATGTATAGCAACCCAAGCATCCTCGTTAAGTTAGAGTATACACGGTTGAGTCAGGACTGGTGGGCACTCACTTGTCTTGTGAAGCAGTACAGCAGTCTGGAAAGACTGGTGTCACTGCATTAGATACACAGATTGCCATATAAATAGAAGTAAGGTGTACTTTGCTTCTCTAGATTGTGAGGTGTAAAAAAAAAAAAGAAATCCCAAACAAAGTGAGGGAGAAGCAGCAAAAATTATCCTTTTGACTGCTTTTAAATTACCAGGAATAAAGTATGTAGGCTATTTTTAGCTCTTTTCTATCCTTGTAAGCTTGGAAGAAAAAAACCCACTAATTAATCAGACAAGCTTTTTCAGTGTAAAACAGCAACTAAGTTTTCAAATGGTAACAACTGTCTTAATAGGTTTTTTAGGGCAACTTTGTACCTCATATATTCATATTGTTGCCCAAAACTCATAGGCATTCAGAGTTCCTTAACCAGAGGCTCAAAACCAGCTAAAATACGAGTGGTAATAGATATATATGGAAAACTATTTACACAACTCATCATTCCAGAGTATGGATCACAATTCCTGCTCCGAGTAATGCTCATAGTACATAAAATAGTCTTTATAAATCCATTGACGTACTAGTTCCTGGGAAGTCTCGCCGTCTGTGCTGGGCTAGCAGTAGCATGGTTTTAACCTTTCTATTTTAAGTTATGGAAGAACAAGAAGAAAAACAAAAAACCTAGAAGGATGCAAAATGCCAAAAATGCCCTGGCCATTGAACTAAGACCTAACGGACTTGCAGAAGGTAAGAGAAGAAAGCCCTCCATTCTGGGCAGCACGGGTGTGCAGTAGGAGCTCTGTAAAGCAGTGCTGGGTGTCACCTAAGGAAAAACATCATGCAAAGCATCTAGCTCCAGCAGGTCTACCGTTTGTACCTCAGAACTTCAAAACATTTCCACTGCCAGCAGTGTATATTCTGCAATACCTGTTCTCAACAGGATCTGTTTAGTTTTTAACTCTGAATTTTTGTGAAGTTCGTCTGAACAGGTCACTTTGTTTAGAAAGCAGTAATGCTGGAGGTGGGTCAGAACATACGCACACAATAGACTAAGTCTTAAACTCATCAGCTTGTAACAGGGACATAAAGCCGTGTATTACTGCAAGCTTGCATGTTCAATGTATTTTTCTTTTCCTTTTGCATAAAGCTGCTTTCCAATAGGGGCCAGTTTGATTAGAATGAAAGCACAGTCGCTGTACGACACTGATAAACTGCTCAGTTTCACTCGGCTGCAGATTTACTCTGAAAGCTTCCTCAAGTGCTATAAAGATGAGGGTTGAATAGTCAGCATTTGTTCTAGCTTTCATTGTTAGGAAGGAGTAGACTGTCTTGGCTTAGCCCTCAACATGAGGAAGGAAGCAACGTGTCAGCACCTCGGTCCTGGTCCTGAGCTGTGCTAGATACTCCCAGCCTTCTGTGAGCATTCTGAGATACACCTGCCTTCTGTGGCAGGTGTCTGCCACCCAACCCTCATCTTCTGAAGTCACTGGGCTCTGTGCAGGCACATGAGGCTCATCAAACGCCGTTACTTGCTACTCACAAGCTTCCATGGTGGAGAAGGTGTTAATAAAATGTAAAAGGTTAAAAAACATCAGATAAGACCTCCAAGATGACATCTCCGTGTTTGGATTATTCTTGTCTTATTTTGTGCTTTATTTAAAAATCTATGATACTACAGTCAAACCACTGCACTGCTGTTTGAAGTTGCGTTTTCACTTCAGGGTATTTTTGTAACTGTACAGTAGCAATAAAAGAACAAACTTATTAGAAAAAGTAACTGTTCACGTGTGGTAATGTCTTGAAACAAAGACCAAGTTATAAGCCAAGCTGCATTTGGTATATCCAATAGACACAGCACTTCCCATTCTCTGGATAAGAAGCATTCTTGCAGGAGCTCTTCCCGCTACATATAGCATTTTCTGGTAGTGGCAGAGGGTGGGAAGTACCAACTCCAAATTGTCTAAACAGAGATTAATTCCATAGCCCTAATGGACCTACCGCTGAAGGATAGAGCCCATCGCTAATTCAGATGCTTGTAGCCTGGTTACACAGGGATCAGTTCACATTCTCGCTCAGTACTTACCATTGCTTGATTCCGCAAGACCTGTTGGTGACTTTGGACGGTCTTTCCTCATTTCAGCAGGATTCACTGTGAGCATGGAAGGTGATGGCTTTCAGGTAGTCAGAATGGAATCCCTAGGGATAATTAATTAGAAAAACAGACACTCTCAGAAGTTATAGCCTTTCACGCTGTGTTGTCCATATAAATGGTCCAACCCAGTCTTTCCCCAAAAGGTCATCTTATGCTCCCTGGTTTCTGTACAAAGGACCTAAGGAAGAAGAGGCCCTCTCCCTGTGCAGTAGCACCTCGTGTTTCCTCCTGCCCCACCATGCTACTGACCGAAAGAACCCAGTCTCCCATGTCAGCAGGGGAGGTAGATCAGCAGAGGAATATAAGCAGACAAAAGTCATAGTGACTGTAAAACATGCAGCCAGCCATGTTGCACTCACTATATTCGTATCTTAGCGCTCACCTTTTTCATGTCAGTTTCATTTGTATTTTATTTAAAAAACCACAAACAAACCATAGCTTATTGACAGAGCATACAAGAAAGTATCACCTGTTGAAAAGTATCAGCCTCCAGGCTCACGCTAAATGATTACATCTTGTACTTTATAGTATTTATAAATTATTGCACTGCTATCTGAAGGATATAAAGTATTTTGATCTTTTTGGAAAACTGGCTAGATTAAGATCAGTTGGGAACAAATTTCCTCCTGAGCAAAACAAGGGTATTACTCATTAGAAATATGTATCAGCAGGACTACAGCAACATTTCACGGCGAAAAAGTATTCTTGGCATTTAAGATCAGTAGTCGCAGTCTCTATTAGCAAGTCACCAAGTACGCTATCTCCTCTCCTGGTTTAATTTGTTCATCTGGTACCTTGGATGATAAATGACAGTGTTTGAACGACAAATTGACAGTTATGTTGAGAAAGAAAGCTATTTTCAGACACAAAAGACCTGGTGTTTGATTGCTGAATATTTCACTTCTTGCCTATAGTCATCACTTTCCGAAATGTGAGGTTGATTCTTGGGGCGAGTACTCTCTTGCGGGTGGGCAGGCTGTGGTACCAATACACATTGGTGGGGTACTTCATCATCAGCAGGCTACCGTGGGCTAGCTGCAGTTTGATGGGCTTAATGTGGCGCGTTGCGTTTTTCCCTCTGGAATCACAGTGCCTGAAAACAAAGTCCCTGCAAGCTCCGAAGGACACAGACGCAATCGGACTGCGTGGAACCAGTTCTCTCTCGTCATCTCGATGTTCACCTATGTGGTCCCCACCATCTTTATATCTGTACACAAAATAGATTAGTTAGTTCTTCTACCAATCCAATTAAATGAACGTCAAACAGCTCCTCAGTGATCTGTCAACAGTGTTGCACAAGCAATTTTTCATTTGAACAAGTTGCTTGATGCAACTGGAAATCAGACATACCTGTTAATAAGAACAAAATTAAAAGTATGTCCTGTGTCCAAAGTGATGCGGTCTCTGATACGGTTGAGAACTGGGATCCACGGCTTAGGAGCGAAGGTGACGCCCGAGTAAGTGTATGTTAACTCAGGGTCTCCATAGGTTACCTGCTTCCTTGGAATGTCATGCCACTTGCCAAACACCTGCAATTTCGTCATTTCACCTGTTTAAACAAGAGGTAAGAAGGATCAAAACCAACTATTACATCTGCAGTTCACAGTTTCAACATTCTCCTTGATTTGGAGCTTCTGTGAATCTCCAGTGGAACAACAGAAATGAGGATGCGTCATAAGCCGTCAGCCGTGTTCAAGTGTTTCTGTCCCAACAAAGTACTTAACGCTCAAGTTTGGCGCTGCTTTACTATCCCCCTTGAATGGGATGAACGGGACTAGCACCCCCATCATATTCTGTTGTTGAATTAACGTGCCCGGGGATATGTCATATACTACATCTACCAACAAACTCCCGTCACCCTTCCAGGACTACCCTGGTTCTTTGGAAACGTTAAAACGTGCATGAAACTGCTTGCACACGCTTCAAGCTAAGGAAAACTAACCCTGCAGGATCAGACCTGTGCTTGCGCTTCACTTCGCCGGGGCCTGACT